AGCCACCCTATGTCATCCACACAGGAGGAACGAGAACGACAAGATAAGGGCATATGGGGAGAGAATTCAGAACGTTGATCAAGGCAGCTTCACTCCTCTGGTGTTCACAACCTCTAGTTGGATCGATCAAGTGCAAGATGCTTCTACGCTAGATTCGCAGAGGTGCTATCCGAACAGAAGCAGCAGCCCAGAAGTTATGTTACAGCCTGGATGAGATGTCGACTGCCCTTCTCTTTCCTTAGGTCTACTTTGCTCTGCCTCAGGGGAACGAGAGCATCGGCCCCAAAGCCGACAACAGTTGCAGATATTGACTACGAGGCAACAGTCACTGAATGCCACATAGATCTGCGGCTCAACTAACTCAACACAGCTAGGATAACTATTTATGTATTAGGATATTTAATTTTAAGGTAATGAAATGGCGGCGAAGGTGTAGCTATTAAGTGGAAGCTGGAGGCCACGTTTCAAAAAAAAAAAGTAGTAGTAGTAGTAGTAATAGCAGTGTGTGTGTGTGTGTGTGTGTGTGTGTGTAGTTACCGTCTGTTTACACAACGAAGAAATAATAATACAGGTAAATAAGCTTTTCCTTTATTTCTCAAGAATTATAGCTACTAAGAATAGTATTCATAACTCAACCATACATGTACTTGACTTTTGGCATTATCATATACAACAAAAAAATTTCAGTTACTACTCCAAGTGCCTAACGATATTCTTCCGGGTCTGCTGCCTGCTTAAATCGAAGAAACGTTTCCAGAACGCGAGGACCTAGTTTGGGCGAAGTTCTCCTTCAGCAGAATAAGGCAAGCGATGGAGCAGCCCAGAATCAGTAGGTAGAGAGCACCCTGCAAGTGGTGTAACCCCAAAGTCATCTCTCTGCTGTCTTCCTGAAGAAATCATAAGATGTTTTACTGATGATTATAATATCTGTTTACTGTACCTAGTCTCCGTTACTTTATCAGTCATAGATTTCATATTAGGATATATCACTCTCCTTTTGTTATTATATGATGCCTTCCTATGGGATTTTAGTTGATACGTTATGATACCATGACAGTACGCGGTATATTATAATACGTAATATATTTTGATAGCTCGACATGTGATGCTGTGTGGTATTGGGTGGTGTTTTCTTAAATAATTTGAGGGTAATTGCAATCATTTAATAGGAAGTAATATTAGTGTATTATTCTGTATGTTTCAATGATGTGTGATAACATGTGATACTCCATTCTGCTCTGTCATGCTATGTGATGTTAAAGGGGTATTGTGTGCTACTATAGGTCTTTTTAATGCTGTAGTGCTATGTGATATATTAAGGTGCTATGTGATATAATATGGTGCTTTGTGATGTAATGTTATATTATTGTGTTGCCTGACAGAATAGAGTTATACTGGAATGAAAACAAGACTTCGCCATATTACCAGTATACTGCATGATATTGAACTTCGCGCCCATTTATCCAGTGTTATTATATGTGCGGTAAAGTACTCTGGATAAATTGGATAAAATAATAAAACACATATATTTTATAGCGCAGTTTTATCGTAAAACAGTTCATAAGGGAAAAATATTCTAATGGGTATCAGGTGCTCGGCGCGACATCATAAGTGATAACACCAAGTGGCTCACCAGATCTTAATGTCCATCTGAGTCACAAAAACTGGTGTCAGGCACAACTTTCAATGTAAAAAGTTAACTAAATTCCTTCCCACAAACATCAAAACTATTGTTCGATAATATGACTTTAACTCTTCACACAGAGGCTTTGTGCTTCGCCTATGACATGATAATATGGTTTTGTCTGGAATTCCATACATTATCGATATTGATGAATAATAATTTGGCATTTTACATTCAGCACCATCCTGTGAGTTTAGCGGTAGGCGGTTCGTCGAACTTAACTTTAACCGACGGGCTTTCAACATTTAATAGAGATTGATTTGTTTCTTCGGTCGCCAGTATTGTTAAAAGTAAACAGCAAACGATTTAGAATATATACTGAACAAATTCTTAAATTTTACCAGGTAAATAAATGAGGCCACTGGACCAGTAGTCTAGTGCACTATGGATGGAGGAGAAGGAGGAGATGCCTAAGTGTCCAGTATTTACCAGGGTTGCCTGAGGGTCCAGTGCAGCAGCTGCCCTGTTCTCCCTCACGCGCGCGGATATTACTTCACTGGCCCACTGTTGTATAATGCCAGCGTCCTCTAACCGAGATTTGAGTTGAAGGAAACGCGTATAATATGGTGATCCTTTCCTACAACAAACAAGTCGATTCAGAATTATATTACCTAAGAAATCATAGAATTATTGTAAATATGAGATATATCTACATGAAACAGCATAAATCAGTGTATGCAAATCAATCGGATTCAACTTTATCAGTTTTGGTAGCAACAAACAAGTAGCTTTTTCCACCACTTCCAAAACCAGGAAATGACCCCACCAAATCCTCATCACGTATCTACTACACAACAACCTGGCGGGAAAGTAACACAATACACATGCCTGAATGACCACCCGAAGGAAGCAATCAAAACTATTCCACGTTTGCTGATGTAGAAGGGTGTTTGGCCGTAACTGTTGGTGTACTTGGAGTCAATGATGACAGTGATGTGGTATTTAGGACTGAAGAGCGAGTAGCTCCCCTCCTTCACCTTCCGCAGTGCCTCATCTGCTGTCAGGACCTAGAGTGATAGGATTGAAAAGATGTTTGTTAATAGCAATTATATCTTGAAAGATTAAGCTTGCGCTTGGTTAACCCTGAGCATAATTTTTCTGAACTGATAAAATAAAAATGAGTTGATACTTTCGAGTTCCTAAGTATACTGTAGTATTTTCACGTGGTTGTGTGCTTAGATGACCTACTTGCGTGTTTGTGTATGTATGTAGGTCAGTGTGAACATAAATATCAAAGTATGGTGCTGGTCTCTAAACACATAACCACAGAACTGTGACGAGGGATGGGTATATGTGGCACCACTTTTGGTACTTGATATTTCTTTGGATTGATATACTGTAGGTTGTATGTGTGTTGGTATACACCTGTTGCTCATTTTATTATTGACGAGTTTTATGCTTCCCTCATCAAAGAAATGATGTCATCCTAACAATAATATCTTATTTCACATATTGCTTGATCAAAATTATTTCATTCGGAATTTCATAACATAATTGTATATCTGTTACAATGAGAAAAATAAACTTGAGAAAGTTTTATGTTACAAATATTTTGGAGTTTACTTACCTCCATTTTTTTATTTATCTCCTTCACGACAGGGTCAGTATGCTTCGAGAAATATTCCTTTGGCATTCCTCTCATCATCCAGTGTTCTATACCCCACTTCCAGTTGCTTCTATCCAACAGATCCTCAAATGTTTCTGGAGACTGGGTCCTCCCTTGGACTGTCAGGTGTGAGATTAATGACGAACGAAACCCTGTGATCATGACGACACAGAACACCAGCCACCACCCCACCAGCACCTGCAAACATTAATCTTGTGACCAGGCAGCCAACGTTTGTATATAACTTCATCCTACCAATACCTACTTTTACTTAAATGACCAGATTTAACCCTCAGTTATTCGAGTGATATCGCTGAGTTTCAACCAAGCACTTTTCGGAGCAGTAGTTAGATTTTTCGGGAAACAAAAAATTAGATATCATATGTGTTCTTGAAAACGATTCATTAAACATAAGAATTTTCATTTAGCAGGCAATATTTATGGCACATTCCTTGTATTTTCTAATCCTGTCTAATCACATTTATTTATAAAGTCAAGTGTCTTAGATTTCTGTCATATTCATGCATGTTTTGACGAGATGTTTGTCATACAGTGAACAAAGACACTTTATGTAAGGCTATCAAATATACTTCTAATTTAATTCTATAACATCACAAACTCCCCTTTGAACACTACTTCTAGGTCCAAAACAAATGTAATACCGTAAAACTAAAGTTTTTTGGCAGCATGAACAACACGATTACCAAAGGTGGTCAGCTTAGATTTTTCACCCTAGCAGAAAAAAAGACAGGTTGCGAAAAGTCTGTCAACCGTTTTTTTTTAACCATAGAGTTAATAAAAAATATTCCAGTGTCAAAATCTTCCAACTTAATTATTTAGTGGGGTCCTTTATGCTGGGTCTAGAGTGATGCAGGTGAGAGGATTAAACGAGACTTTTCTTATGGACGGCTCTAGGTTTTCAAGGATTTTCATACATTGACGAACGATGTAGCTACGAAGGTGTAGCTTAATATGTTTTTCCAAGTTACCTAAGCAAAGACGTATGTTGTCACAGACGATAGGCAAACACGTTAATAATGAAAAAAAATAACAAGCAGTCAGTATCCTTTTTATTTTCTTGATAAAAACAAATAAGCTGCCCTGCCCTAAGGCATCACCAAGGGTTTGTTAAAATGAGTTTACGGTAGAAGCAACAATTAAAAAGAAGAGTAGAACATGTGGGAAAAAAAAACATTTACTTTTACACAGATGAAAGATTTACTTTTCCTGAGTCGCTGACGGAGGGGTTGGAGGGTGGCCGCTCCAGAAGCGCGCCCCAGCCGTACAGGAATGCGGTGGTGAACTTCACACCACGACCTCCCGCAAACCATCGCCTCGCCCTATGTATAAACCACAGGGACACACCCCACGCCACTACGCTCATCAACAGCGCCACCCACAGTTCTCCTGCAGGAAAGGAGAAGCAACATTTAATTTTTTGCACAGTAGTTTCCTTAAAGTACCTGAAGTACCTAGCATTGACAATCATGAAACAATTTTAGTGACTCACAGATATAAATATTGGATGTATTCATAAGTAGTAAATGAAAAAACATGCAGTACGTGTATACACATCGCGTAGCTTACCTGGCGACAGAATAAGTCATGGAGTGACCAGTTATGGGAATGCCAATCTAATATACAGTATACAAAAAAATATTACCCACCTCAACCTAACCTAACTTAACTTAACCTAATTTAACCTAACCTAACCTACTCTAACCTAACCTTACCTAACCTAACCTACCTAACAAAACCCAAATTAACCCAACCCAACCCAACCCAACCCAACCCAACCCAACCCAAACAAAACCCAACCAAACCCAACCCAACCACAACAAAAACCCAACCCAACCCAACCCAACCCAACCCAACCCAACCCAACCCAACCCAACCACAACAAAACCCAACCAAACCCAACCAACCACAACAAAACCCAACCCAACCCAACCCAATCCAACCTAACCACAACAAAACCCAACCCAACACAACCCAACCACAACAAAACCCAACCCAACCCAATCCAACCTAACCACAACAAACCCAACCAACACAACCCAACCACAACAAAACCCAACCCAACCCAACCCAACCCAAACCAACAAAACCCAACCCAACAACCCAACCCAACCACAACAAAACCCAACCCAACCCAACCCAACCCAACCACAACAAAACCCAACCCAACCCAACCCAACCACAACAAAACCCAACCCAACCCAGCTCAACCAAACCTAACCAAATCCAACCTAACCTGACCTAACTTTATCACACTTTGACCTCCTGACACAGATAACCACCCCCCCCGCTATCGCTGTGTCGATATCCCAGTCACCTAGACCACGAGAGTTATATCTCTTATAATTTCTTAGTGTTGATGGAACATTATACTTGCTGACCTAGTTACGTGCTTAAAGACTTCAGTTGTTATAGTAAAGAAACAACATTATAACAACATAAAAATCTCAGTCAGGGAAGATTTTTGTTTCTTGTCCGCATCACACGGGGGCTAGTGGTCAATAACAGAATAACAGTTCCATGCGGCACAGCCTTGGGACAAATGCAATATGTGTGTACAGTTTCAGGTCTGTGACTGCTTCCACTTTGGAGATATGGTTGCCAAAACCACTGGCCACTATTATATCGAAATTTCGGCTTCCCAGTTTTTAGATAAACAGCTAGAACAATCAATAAGGACACTCCTAGCATGTGCTTTCCAAGGTATCTGAAGACAGAATGGGGAAGATGGACGTTGTGCAAAAATATTATTGTCAATCTATCAGGAAGGTTGATTCATAATCTTTCAATATTTCATTGTAGGTGGCGATTCAAATAGATCAATAATGTACAATATATCACAGTTCAGTTGATAGACGCGCTTCTCAAGTACCCAAGAATTATATCACACCTACCAGCAAAGGGTCTCATCAGCGATAGGTGTTGTGGTAGGGGCGTTGGCTTTAGAGACACTATGCTTAAGACATCGATTTCATAAGCGCCAAGGAACTCTATGATACGGACTCGCTCTGCTTGGGGGCTTACGGGCCCACCTATGTCTACCTCCTCTCGCTGGAGTTGACCTAACATCCCGTTGAACTTGCCGTTCTTCTGTGAACCCCAGGCACGTTGAGGCTGCTCACGAATATCCAAACTGTTGAATATGTTGATAATTTAGAATTCTACCTTGGCGGTTCTTCCATTTCAAGGGAAAATTAAGACATTTTAGAAAAGTTTCCTAGCTCAGTTTACACCAAGCGATCATCAGTATATATATACACACACACACACACACACACACACACACACACATATATATATATATATATATATATATATATATATATATATATATATATATATATATATATATATATATATATATATATATATATATATATATATATATATTCGATAATTTGTTCATTTTCCTGATATTAATTCCCATGAGTTTGATACATATTCTACCTGAAATTGAGTGTATGTGCGAAGACAGAGAGCAGTCTAGCATCAAGACTGTCTCTGAGTGTGACGGTACTGCCTGACTCATTGCTGTTTAGTGTGAAGGCCATATATGGGAAGAATCGTACAGCTGAGAACTGGATCTTGTGGCCAAAGAAGTTATGAAACTGTTCTGTTGAAAAAATCGTGAACCATTAGACTCGTTGTAAAGAAATTCTCGTCAGGTCGCTATTTTTGAGTAAGAGGAATACTCTATTATTAAAGAAAAAATCAATTGAGTTTTTTTAGTAAGATAACATGAAGTGGAAGGGATCCCATGAAGCTTTTCTCTGGCGGACGATATTTCACATATACAAGTATCTTTTACAACCAGTATATGTGTGACTTTATTTTCTTCAATAATATTTTTATAATTCACATTGGAAAGTATTTTTTAAGAGTAATTAATAATAAACATAGCATAAATTTTAATTTATTTAAACCATATCTAAATCATATGTATACAAGGTAGATGTTTATATATCTTTCAGTCTTGTATGAACATATAGGAACTCCAAGTAATGGGTGAACATAATTTCAATATTTCGTGTTCAGCTAAAATATGGGTCACATAGTGGTGAAATTTGACAGGGGAACTTACCATGAAAGAAGAGGTCATCAGTATGCTGGGGAAGGGATGTGAGGTTCCACTTGTGGATAAGTTGGACGTCCGCCTCCCCGTTGTTGCAGTACAGACACCGCCGGTACACCCACACACGCTCACTCACTGATGCGGCCAAGAGAAGAGGGCTTTTTTCTAATCAAATTTATATCAATCACAAATTGTATACAGAAAATTCACATGAAAATTGGAGCACACTTCAATGTTCATGTTTGTCCTTTTCTTCGTAGATTTTCTGCATATAGCAAATAATGCATTACTTTTGTAATTACAACACGTGAAATACCTAAAGGAACTGCGAATTGAAGCACTTGATAGAAAAATTAAACTACTCGGAAGAATGGCTACCCTAGTCTAGTACATTTGCCTCTTTGGAATGTATGGCCATAAAACTCACCTCCTTCAATGCATGACTCAGCACGCCGCAAAAGAGGATAGAGGAGAAATAGTTAAAGTGAAAGAGTGAGGATGAGTCATCTTACATAAAGTCGCAACATTTTGATTATAAACTATTGTCTTATCTAACAAATGTATAGGTAAACACACTTATACAATTGTTTATCTTTTTAAGTATAGAGTTCGCAGCGTCATATTTCCATATATCCTTTATTTAAGAAAAAATAAACATTTGCCAAATTTGTATATTACTATTTTCACATGGCTATTTTTACATGGCTATTTTTACATGGCTATTTTCACATGGCTTCATATATGGTCAATTTCAGCATACAATGGGCTCTAATTATATCCCATAATTAACTCTATCACACTCGTACTTCTTTTTATTATTTCACAGGAATTGTTCCGTTAAATTACGATCAGTAACTGCCCTGGTGACACCCTGTGACTTACCTTCAGAAAAACTATTTCAGATCACCAACAGAGAAAACAGATCGCCCTTAATCATGTGAGAAGATTCCACACAGCTTTCATTCAACATTAGTTAAACACAGGCAACGAGAGAGAGAGAGAAAGAGAGAGAGAACTGAAGGTAGCAAGGAAGGCGAAGTCAAACCCCCCGAGGGATTCTTCCAAAGGTAACAACTAAAACAAGAGACAAGATTGGACCAATACAGTCAGATACCGGCGAGCTAATGGATAACCACGGAGAAATGGGCAATAATCTGAAAATATATTTTTTAACAGTTTTCACCACCGAAAATTTCAACATGATACCCGAGGCACCGACTTTACAGTATACAGAGATAGTGAAAAAATAGATTAAGTGACCAGTAACGATGTTAGTAAGCAAATAGACAAGTTAAAGCCTAATAAGTCGCCAGGTCTCGATGAGATATTTGCCGGAGTATTAAAGGAATGTAAGGAAGAGCTTTGTATGCCCTTTGCAAATTTGTTTAACAAGTCATTAAAAAACGGGTGTAGTACCAGAATCTTGGAGGATAGCGAATGTGATACCGATTTTCAAGAAGGGAGATAGATCACTATCCGCTAACTACCGTCCAATCAGTCTAACATCAATTGTAGGCAAATTACTGAAAGCAATCATTTCAAACTCTATTCGAAATCACCTGGAGAAGCACAAGTTGATCAATGATTCACAACATGGCTTCACAAGCGGGCGTTCATGTCTAAATAATCTATTAACATTCTTTTCATCTGTTTTCGAATCAGTGAACGAGGGGCACGACTATGATGTGGTATATCTCGACTCTAGCAAAGCCTTCGACAGAGTCCCCACGAAAGACTAATAAGAAAAGTTGAGGCTCATGGCATTAAAGGTGATATTCTAAAATGGATTAGGGCGTGGTTACAGGACAGGAAACAGCGAGTGAGCATTAACGGCACCAAATCCTACTGGAGCAACGTCAATAGTGGAGTTCCCAAAGGCTCAGTATTCTCACCATTATTATTTATTATATACATAAACGACGTAGATATCGGCGTAGACAGCAACATAAGTAAATTTGCTGATGACACTAAAATAGGGCGCGTAATTAAATCGGACGAGGACTCTGGAAAACTACAGGAAGATCTAAAAAAAAATTTCGAATGGTCTGAAAAATGGCAGATGAAATTCAATGTGGACAAATGTAAAGTACTCAGTATAGGAGATGTAAACAGGGAAACCAGATATCAGATGAACAACGATGTTATTGAGAAATCCGACTACGAGTAAGATTTAGGGGTAATGATAAGCAGGAATCTTAAGCCAAGTAAGCAATGTGAATTTGCTCGAAACAAGGCTAATAAAGTTCTTGGGTTCATACAAAGGAGTGTTAGTTACAAGACTAGCGAGGTCATCTTAAAACTATATCTTGCGCTTGTGAGACCTCACCTGGATTATGCAGTTCAATTCTGGTCACCGTATTACAGAATGGATAGAATCCTTGTAAAGAATTCAGAAGAGAATGACAAGTCTAATCCCGGGCAATAGGAACCTTGAGTACAGAGACAGGTTAAAACCTCCTAATTTGCACTCCCTCGAGAGACGTAGAGTGAGGGGCGATATAATAGAGGTGTATAAATGGAAGTCAGGCTGAACAAAGATGACATTACCAAGGTATTCAAACTATCCATCCAGGAGCGAACTCGTAACAATAGCTTTAAATTAGAGAAAATTTGGATTTTGGCGCGATACAGGTAAACATTGGCTTAGAAATAGAGTGGAACAAGTAACCAAATATTATCATCAACTAGAATACGCTGGATAGCTTCAAACATAGGTTGGATGGATATATGAGCTATAGGGGTTGGGTGTAAATGGGATTGCCCAGCGTGGTCCAATAGGCCCGCTGCAGTTTCCTCCATTCTTATGTTCTTTTATTCTTATAAGAGAGAGAGAGAGAGAGAGAGAGAGATATGTAAAAGCAATCAGCAAAAAAGTGAGATTCATTTTATTTTAAACGTACTTACCTTCCTGCATCAGTGTCTTCCCGAGGCGTGAGTTAGCAAGGCGCGGTAGGTTTTGAAGGGGAAGGTCATGCAGGGTGAGGGCCATATAAAAGGCGTGGACAGTGTTACGGAGATCATAGTGGAGAAGAACGTCTTCCACCCCTTCACTCCCACCCATCACTAACACCAGCGTCTCAGACAACTTCCACATGCCTGACGACTCTAACAATCTGGAGAGGAATTTAATTGAATAATGTGGCCTCTAATGATGAATAGTGCATTATATCCACTCACTTGGAGTGAAGATCCCATGAATTTTCCACATGTGCAATTTCATCTCCCCGGGTATCAATATATATTATCTTTATTTGCTTCTCATCCTTATACATATAATTTTTACTACCCAGGATATACAACACAAAATTTACGTTCCCCAATCGTTACTACACGTAATTTAACTCGGTACTCTGAAAGCCATATGGCAGCGAAATCCCATTCTTCATAATTCTACTGTAAATAATCAGTGCTACATACAGTAATTCAACGTGAGAAGCAAAGGCTGCACTCCATGGTTTAGAAGATTATAATAATCTTGTTTTCATGTAAATAACCTGGTAGAGGCAAAATTATTACAATTACTGGAGTGATGATTTAAGTATTCTAATCTTAGGCAAAGCACTATTTTTATTTGTCTTTGTATGTAATGTCAAAGTGCAGTTAGCGATATAATTCCTGAAAAATTCGTCATTATGTCGGATAATAATATTGTCCTATGACATGCTACTTATGACTACAATACGCTCGTATATTGTTGTGTGTAGCACTAGTGATTATATTTCAGACTTTTCTTGACCTTTTAGCTGTACTTTACCTGAAGACGAGATCAGTACTGTTGCTGGTGGTGAGGTCAAGGATGAGTGCCCGGCAGGTAGTTCTGGTGTCTCCCCACAGCCCCTGCAGGAGGTGGTCCTGGGTCAGCTGGTCCTGGGACAACATCCACCCTGCCTCCACAACCACGCCAGCTTCCGCTCCCATGTGTCTAGGAGGCACAAATTTCCATTATTATTATAACCCCAAAATAAAAGAGTAGTGGTACGTTTAATGTACACTGACACCCCTCCCTCCTGCCATGCAATGAACAAAATATTAGTCAAAACTATAAAGAAAAATTGGGGTCGCCAAAGTAAAAAAAAAAAAATCAAAATTACAGTTTCCTAGTTAAAGGTGTGTCTGATATATCACTCGGACCATCAAGGGAAGAGGAAACAAAGAAAGAAAACATGAATGCAAAGCTATCAAAGTACTTGGCCTTAATTTGATCAAATTTCAACTCCATAGTTCAAAGAGTGCGTAAGAGTAAGTAAGAATCCTCCTCCCTCTCCAGGTAAACACGCACTCAAACAAACAAGCTTTCACTCATAATTCCTTTTCGGAACTCATATCCAGGGATTACGTGGAGATTGAACGGGGAAGGGGTGGGGACCCGTGTGCAATGATTATAAATGGGACCTCTAAGATCTGACCAAAAATTGGGGTAGAAACATTAAAATGTTAAAAGAAATTGTATGGAAAAGTGAAGTACGTCTATCTTACGTAGTACAGGACACCACAGCCTCTGAGCCAGCGATTAGGATTGCGAAAGTAATACGAGAAATTTGTGGGCAACTGTCAACATCTGTCAAGAGCTAAACTATCCATTATTTTCCTAAATTGTGACGGTAAGGTATGCATCCCCTTATCACATTACTTTGTACTCGTAATGTCTATAAAGGAGAATTATTAGCATAGTAATTATGAAATATGTGTTCGTTAGTTAAATGAAAGGTCATCCATCATATCGGAAAAAATCATTTTAATAAAAAATACAAGTGCCAAGATGATAATTATACGTGACAATATATACAAAACAAAATATAGCAAATACAATTTTTGGCGTCATTAAAGTTGACTTTTTCTTAAACAAATATTTTTTCACCTGATTATACTGGAAAATACGTGTGAGTGTTGTGTAGTGGTGATGAGCACCAGGTGACAGCCGGTGAGATGGTGCTCCACTACCTGACCCACCATCACACCCACCTGCTCCACGGGTCCACCTACTTCTTGACTAACAACTGTCGCAGTGCTCACCAACGTGGCTGCCATCACTGCTGTAAGATACCCATATGACGCCATGTTTCCCTGAGGCGAAAAATAATTATCTTCATTACTATTGTTGCATTTATCATAAATATTATATGTAGAGAAAAGTCACCTATGAAAGTCTTAGCATACCCTTTCCTCTCTTCTCAGTCCAGTGCCTGATGTAATTGAACTGAGTGGCTGCAAATAATAACAAGGGATTTGCATGTCATGCTATGGGCAATACAATATTAAAGGGAAAGGAAAAGAGTTTGTTGGGGAAAGTGAGAGTATTTAAGTCAGAAGTGTCTGAAAGAACAGGAAAAAGAAAGTGCGGCAGTGCTGTAGGGTGGTGAAATATTTTGGATTAACACAGAAGTGTGTATGAAAAATTCATAACGGTGAGAGACAGAGTTATAGTGGTGGGAGATAACTGAGAGATAACTGAGAGGGAGAGACAGAATTGTGAGGATATACTGGAGTGAAAAGAATGACCAGAAATGGACAGAGACTTACAGAAATGTGTGCCATGAGAAAGTCCATGGTGGGCAACTGATAGGTAGAAGGCAGCTACCAAACAGGGAGGTACTACCGCCTGGGAAGATATTGGAAGCATAATGTGTTGTCTGATGGTAGACCCTGCTGCTATATGGCATCACAAATATTGTGACCAAGTCCCAGGTTGCTGATCTGACTTTCTGCCTCATTTACATACAATTGCAGGGTCTCAATTGTTTTTCTTGCCATTGACAACACAACATACATATATTGTTCCTCGCTCTTGATCTTTTTTTTATATTTTTTTATTTCTTTATGGTTCTTTATTATTATTGTTATTACTATAATTGCAGTGTTGTTATTATTATTATTATTGTTATCATTATTATTTTATTATTTTTATTTATTTTTATTTTTATTATAAATTTTACTTATCTGAATTATTATTATTATTTTTAATAATAATAATAATAATAATAATAATAATAATAATAATAATAATAATATTATTATTATTATTATTATTATTATTATTATTATTATTATTATTAGTAGTAGTAGTAGTAGTAGTAGTAGTAGTAGTAGTAGTAGTAGTATTAGTAGTAGTATTATTACATTTTTGCCTCCCAGGCCCTGATATGGGTCAGTGACCCGGGTAGGCTTTCCCATAAAAAAAAAAAATGTAAAAGATGAGAAAGACGTATAATTACTAAGTTTGTATGATATTGAAATGAAAATTGTTTGAGGAGAATGTGAGGTGTGAGGAAGACGAAAACAAGCTTTAAACAACCTTAATTAAAATGTTAAGGCACCGGCGGTAGGTGTAACCATTGTAGAAATATTGAGGATGGAAGATCAATATTGAACATGATGGATAACAAATATATAACAATTATAAATAACTGAGGTTGGAAGCATGGGGCAAGTGGGCTACCTACAGATGCACCCTAAATTTACTTGTACTGTAGACGCAATATCCAATAAATCCCTGAACTTCTTTTTTATTCAGCTTATTTATATGATCAAACTGTTTCTGTAATTGTTTCTATATATTTGATCACACACAAAATAGCCAAGATATATTCATAGACAGTGTAAATTGTCAAAATATTTTAAGAACTTTAAGAGTTCCTGGATAAGTAATACACTTGTATATTTTTTAGTCTTGAAATAAATAAAACTATATGTAATAATTGAGTCGCCTGTAGACCCTTTATTTGCTTAAATTAATCTTGGAGTAAAATAAAAAAGTAATTGGATTATTATTAAATATTTCAGAACTTTTTAATATGGTTATAGATTCATTTAAAGTGTCCTCTATCTTATACTAAGAGAGAGACTGGTATTATTTATTTATATTATTCTGGTGTATAGTATTCACATAAAAAATCAATATTCTATTGATATAATCTTCCTCTTATTGAAAACAAAAATCACTTGTCTATTTAAAATTTTCAAAGGTTATTAAAACATGGAGGAAAACGGTCTTTTAATCCCTTTGTTTTTAATATATTCAACTTGCTACTGTAGGGATAGCCAAAGGTATAAAAACGTCTGCACAGTTTCTCTAGCCTTACTTTGATATTCTTTCATAATCGCCAAGAAATACCGTCTTTTATTAAAGTTCTGTACACATACAATGATTTTTTTTCTAGCGAGTAAGCTTACTTTTCATTTCCAGTAGCAGTTCTTTGTTTTGTCTTGTAGCTCATTAATTCTCTTGATATTCATCTGACTGAGGAATTGTAGTTCACTCTTCAGACAGAAAACATTTCAAAATTGATGAATCAATGATAAAACAGAAGCCAATATTTATGGCAAAGATATATTACCAAGTGTTGTTATAGAGGACGATTATTTTGAAGTCATTTTGGGTAGGACTCTGACTAACCTCCTGTACGTAGTTGAAAAGGTTTATATAACAAAAACGATTTTCTTTAATTCACTTTTATACAACTTGATATACAAAGAAACTGAAGGTGATGTGATAAAGAGATGTTCTGGAGACGTGAAGAGGACACTGTGTTAACGGACAATAACATATTAACGGAAAGAACAACAACAACAAAAGATCTAGGGGTTACGAAATTGCGCATACTAAGTTCCATCACAAGTTATATAGATAAATAACTATACAAAAATGCTGGAAGTGAGTTACTGCCGGTCATTATGTCAAAGGTATAAAAGGGAATGTATATTGATGTACTGTATATTTGTTTCAGAATAAATGTCTATCTTTATTATGCTATCAATGCTATGTATTTTTTTGGTTGGTTGGAGTAATGATTTATCTTATTATGCTGAAAAATATCAGGGCAGTTTTGCAGGGTCGTTTTTTATTTTTTTCTAAAATAATCATTAGGACACTCAATCAAAACAAATATAATACAGTAGTAGGGATATTTATTTGGGTAAATAAACACAGCTTCCCTCTTGTGTCACAGTCGTCTGCCATAGTGGATATATCAAGACAAGTTCCAACTACGCAAAACCAGTTAGAGGCATCATTCTTCGATTGTAACTGATCGTCATTAGTGTAATTACTAAAATAATATACGCACCTAAAAATGTTAAGTGTCGTATAGTGTTACGCAATAGCACAATGAAACATCAACGTCACAAATACACGCTACGATAATTAACATCCTTAAGCACGTATGTTAGGTGAGTAATTAAACTAGTGTTTGTATGTTCCTTATGCATTTTCATAGTTTTGAAGTTTGAGCTCAAATTTGATAGAGAGGTGCTTGTAGCTTAGGAAACGGTTGTCCACTATCTTTTTCTCCTCCACTCAGGCGAAACTGAGTAGTTCAGTTAGTACATTATAATATCAACTTCATAAACTTGTGGCATGAGCAGGTGCGCATTAAGCTTTAGGCTCTACATACTCTGTGGTCTTCAAAATGTTTAGTTTCTTGGCTGTTGGTTACCAAAGGAATTAAAACCATGGATAATGATACAGGCCTATATGTTTTAAACGCATTTTAAAGGATCTGGACCTTTGCTTCTCTTGATATGGAGTTTGTGTCTGAAAATACGAAAGATTTTTAATTACTCTTCCTTGTAAATAATGATCCAATATTTGAGGTTTGTAGTAGAGTTGTAGACTGCGAGATATATCAATGCCAGTGGTCGCTATCTGCTGCTGGGTAGAGGAGGCAGTTGTTGCATTATGGTCACGTTGATTACGGCGAGAATATCGTGGGTATGATCTTCGCCCCAAGGTGCCATCTAGCTTCCACTGCTGGACCCATCGGTAAATGGTGGAAATGCTGGTGTTACTCTCAAGGGAAATTTCCTTAGCTGACACTCCACTCAGCCACCGCCACACTACCCAGGCGCGGTCTGCTGCTGCTGCCCGTCTCCTGAGTATCATTGTCTTCATGGTCTTTGTTCTGTCAAACAGAAGTTTGGAAGATATGTTATGACACCTGCTGTTATGATTTTTTTTTGTTTAACTTTATAATTGTATCAAATTGCGCATATGTACAGTCTCCTTCACTAGTGGGATTACAGGGGCTTGTCATATATTTTATGTAATATTGTTTTACTTTGTTTCCAATATATGTTTATTTTTGCGAGTTTCCTGCTGTCAAATGTAAACAAACACAGCGCTGCCACACTGTGCAAAACCTGACGAGCCGCCCCTGTAATCGCACTAGTGATGGGAATTGAACATTCCCTTTTTTCTTAGCCATATATTTTTCCATGTGCCTTTACAACTGAAGTTAACTGTCTGCATGATAAGATCTTTACAAAAGAAAAGGGCAAGCAAATATGAACAAAGAAAAACAAACAAAAGAGTCCATTATTATCCTTCAAAAGTATTAAACAAACATGTCCTGGGAGGCCGCCTCCACCCACAATAGCGGTCCCACTCAGTGATGCCAACGCGGCCGGATCGCCTCCACAGTGACTCTCCTTCGTTAGCCAATGCAGATCAGGTTAAAGCCTGTCAAGTAAGTGTACCAGTGAACAATGACAGTGATAGTGTTAGTGAAGCTTCTGAAGGAGCTGGTGCCTCCTCTCATAATGATGCCAACTTGAGGGTGAGTAGCCAAAGCAAGACCGATAGTGATGGACGCATGAATGGCGAGAATGAGCCCCAGACTGCCAACGTGGTCGCTTTAATAACCACAGGTCTGAAATCCGTCCATGACCCTGAACTTCCTCCAATAGTTTCGGAGGAGGAACTCGCGGGACTAATGAAGGAACCTGTGTATAAAATTCCTACTAGAATAAGCGCTGTGAGACGCATTATCAAGAACTCCAGGGGTGATGAATTTGAAACGGTTAACTAATTGGTCAGGTTGATCTATGAAGCCAATACGCGACTTTCTATACTCAGTTCAAGGTGGAACAAGCAACACGAACGCTTAGGTTCATTTCATGGAACTTCCGGAGTGTTAACCGCAGAATCAATGAACTATAATGGGTTGTTAAAGTTTTTAACATGATGAAATTGGTTTACAAGAACCTTACACGTCCAGCACCCAGAAGAAAGCTGCACCCAGGATAGCTGGGTTTACAGCAAACAATAGTGGAGCAGGAAGTGGCCTGCT